TCAGTACCTTGCCCAAACACAGATATGGTTGAGATATACAGGTAGTCAGTACCTTGCCCAAACACAGATATGGTTGAGATATACAGGTAGTCAGTACCTTGCCCAAACACAGATACGGTTGAGATATACAGGTAGTCAGTACCTTGCCCAAACACAGATATGGTTGAGATATACAGGTAGTCAGTACCTTGCCCAAACACAGATATGGTTGAGATATACAGGTAGTCAGTACCTTGCCCAAACACAAATATGGTTGAGATATACAGGTAGTCAGTACCTTGCCCAAACACAGCCTTGGTTGTTATTCTCATGGTAACCATTGTACCATATTGCCTCCATCATGACTAGTGGTTGCTTTAATATATTTTTTTTAATATGTTCATCAATTATAAAAACGGGCACCTGCCCATAGTGACCAGCTTTGAGCAGTCTCAATGCAATTTATTTATTAAGTGACCTGTATATAAAGACATGGCATCTATAGCTGTCTGATTTGACCAGTGACCGCCCTTTATAAAGGCCAAAATAATGGGAGATAATGACACTTGTTGACACATTGAAAGTTTTAATTTCATCAAAGCAAATGAACATATTTTTTATTTATGCCCCATCTTTTTGTTATGTAAATTGGGTGTGTGTCACAGTACAAAGGTTTGAACTCTTTGACAATAGAATAAAAATGAAAGTAACTCACTTTACTGACTGTAAATAGCATGTTGCTTTGTCCACTACAAAGGTAAACATCACCAAACAAGACATCTTCTAATGTTATACCTTCAACTACCTCATCATAGGTATGTGTGATTTCAACATTGAATGGACCACTGGGTGACATTGCATCTAATGTCACTTTCCATACCCATCCAATATTCCCTACACCTGAAAACACAGCAAGATATAAATGTAATTAAAATTAAACAAGCAGCCTTTTGGCCGAGATAACTGTTAGCAATGCACATTTTAATAAAAGAACTAAAGATATCATTAGAAAATGAACAATATGTATAGTATCAAATATCACTTTTTACCAAAAATATTCATCAAAATTAGAAATTTGAAGATATCATTACAAAATGAACAAATCTAAGAGAGGTCTACCTGTAGTACCTATATATATAATATCAAAGCAATCAGACTTGCGATTTTCAACAAGAAGTCGAAAATATCACTTTTACCAAAAATATTCATCAAAATTAGAGAATTGAGGATATCATCATGAAATGAACAAATCTAGGAGAGGTCTGTCCAAGGTACATATACACTAAGTATCAAAGCATTCAGGCTTGTTGTTTTCAAGAAGAAGTAAAAGAATGTAAAATGTTGACAATCACTCATATGATAAGCCCCGCTCAAAAAAGTCGACAGCGAATCTAATAAAAAAACTGAATCCTATATACAGCTGCATGTAGATGTGTATAGTTAAATTATTCAGTGTAATCTTATCCTTACCTTGGTATGTTGTTGTTGTATATATTTTTCCTTTCAAGTTCACTTCAATGTCTGCATTTTCTTCTCCATATCCCCAGATAATTGACTGATGTGGTTCCATTTGTAGCACCATGTGGTTGCCATAGTAACTGGCTAATCTGAATGCAGGTGGTTCTGGATTTAACAGGAATAAAATTATTACCTACACATTTAATAGAGAATTGTCACTAGCATATCAGGAAAAACTCTTTTCCTACATGTTACTTTGTGTTGAAATCTCTTCACATTCACCATATTATAAGAGTACATAAAACATACATATGCTACCAGTTTTTCACTATAAGTACAAAATGGATGACAAATATGCACATTATAGGTCTAAGAGTGATCATTTTGACAGGTCAGTCATACTAAATCCAAAAGGGATATCTATGAGAAACTCTTGGTATATAAATATACTGAAATGCATTTAATTATTCACTGGGTTTTAATTTTTGCTGATAAATAGTGAAATTAAATGTCAGTGAAAACAAGTGGTTTTACAAGAAGGGAAATAGAAAAATGATTTATTTTCGTTCACTTAGTTTTGAACTAATTTTTTGGGGGGTTTTAGGATGCTGAAAGCTAAATTACCGGGTATACAGTTAGTACAGTTAATGTTTCTATCACTATCACGTGTAGGAGTTCTTTTTATAAACCGATGTATTTTTCTGTCATATTTCCCGGAGGAACCCCTTTTGAGTTTCTAATGGTCAACCCCTATAATCATAAAATGACGTAGTCAAAATATAGCAATACAGTTAGCCCGCAATGCTCAATGTGTTGGAGATGGAGTACGCACCACTGACTTTTCGTAATATATAAGTTGGTACCACATGACATAAATATAGTTAAACACCAAGCAAGATAATAATTAAACTATTAACTATTAAAAAATGTAAGCAAATTAATAACTACAAACTTGAGTATACATCATAACTACATATTAATTTATTATAGGCATGCCAAAATTTGTAACTATTTATGGCAAAGCCAATAATGATCAACCTAGGGGGTCATCTATTTGATGAATCTACAACGATAATAAGTTTAAAATTCAGAAATTTGTCTGTAGATACATGTATGCTACAAATAGAACTGTGCTATCAATTAAAAAAATAGGCTATCTACTAAAACAATAAAATAGGAGAATACAAGTATTGACGTAACAAAATCATATATTTATTAAGTACAGGCATATAGTTTCTATTGAATTGGCAAACTGAATAGAAATTTAGGTTTTGAATAATTGGTTTCTATGAGAGAAACATTGTTTTGTTTGGTGCCCTCCCTATGCTAAAAAACTGATATACAGTGTTACAAGAGCTACATATGTCTGTCATGAAAAAATGAATAATTTTTAATATTAGTATAAGTTACCATGGAATAATGTGTTTACACAGAGTCCTTTGAAAACTTTTTCAATGGCGGCTTATTGGATTATTTTGCATATATTTTCTTGAAAACACGTTCTTCTTTCTTTGTAAAAACTTTAATATGAATATAAGGTTATTATGAAGTATGCATGAAGACAGTACAGCTGGAGTATCGACCGACGCACGATGTACTGTCTGAGAGCATACTTTGAGGTATTCTCGTAATAACCTTATTATTATACATCTTTTCCTTCCAAGCATACATCATAGGAATGCCGAAATTCAAAAAAGTTTAAAACAGAATCAGTGAATCGCATTTCTTTATATGGTAGGATGAAAATACCCTGTAAAATACCGTAAATTATGGCACGCTGTAAATTATAGCGTTACAGTGACAGATGTATAATAATGACTTATATGTATGTGAATCATCAAACAAAATTTTTTTTAATGATTTACTCTGATCAATTTTTCACATGTTTTAATGGTAGTAAACTATGTTTCATACAAGAGCAAATACCTTCACTTAATGATTGTAGTACCAATGTTAGTATATCATTATTTTACACAATATTCAATATGTATTGTTCACAGTTATGGTCAGTATACCATGGAAAATCTCATACAACAACACATTTTGCATTGGAGTGAGAAGGTAGCACAAGTGGAATGTTTGTAACTCATTCCATTCCAAGACTTTGTGCAGAAAGACAAAATTTGTGCTATTTTAATCATCTGTATTCTAGCTAGAACTCGGTGATCAGTACTTTGATGTGCTCTATGCATGTGTTATTTCTAAGATATAAATTGCTATGTTTTTAAAACTAGATTGTTTGTAATGTTTTATGTTGTGTTGTCTCTTAACCTCAATTAAAGTGTCATAATACTAATATGCAAATGAGCTCAAAATTATTTATTTCTATACAAACATTCTACATTCTATGTAGTAAAGGACTAGCACTTAGTTGCATTAGGGAAATATATTCTGAAAAATTAAATGAGATTTCATTTTTTCACATCCGTATACTTAAAGCATAATTCTGTTCTCACAAAAACCTAAGTGTACAATTCATTAGAAAAAAATAAAATGAAAAAAATAAAGTAATATAAAAATTCCTGCTACCTACAGTTAGACTGTTACTGGAAGCAATTTGTGTTATTTGGCCTGACTAAACATTAACAGGTGGTAGGCAGACAAATATGCTGGTCCTTGCATTGATCAAAGACGAAGCATTATTATCAGACCACGTACATGCATAAGGCGGGGTCAAAACAACACTACAAAACGAAAGCAAAAAGTCGAAATTTTCTATAGTATCAGTCACAGCTAAATTCTCTTGTAGAAAATTATCAATAATCAGGTTATATGACAAAATATCAGATTTCACCATTTCACGTTACAATTTATTTCGTAGAAGTAGGCGTATTATGATAATCTGTCTTCATAGGCTTCATAGCGTAGCGTTATAGTTTATACGTCCGAACTATGGCGGCCTACACTTACCTGACTGTACAGCCACGACCAAAAAAGTAATTAACAAAATGTTTATCATATTTGTTTATAGGTTTGGCATCAATTGTCTATTTGAGTCTTTGTCACAAACACTGATTACTTTTCTAGTACTCGGCGAAAGCATTCTCCACTACGCCATGCCCAATGTATTCTTTTGTATAGGTGGTTTCTTTTGACCTTTGAACTGTGCTGTCAGGAAACCTGGTAGACGCCCTCAGGCTCCCGTTGTTAATTTGTTTTCAATGGATGGCACGGTACGGACCAAAAATACAACACATAAACAAAAATTCTATCTATCTAAACAACAAGGTATTTATGGTAGTACACAATAAATGGCTTGGTTAAACTTCGCTTACAATATGCCTGTGCTGTCTGGGGCCCTCTTGCAGGATGTTGGGGTTTTCTTTGTTTTTACATTCAGATTTAAAAATATATATAAACTCAAAATATTATAAGAGAGGTATTTTCGGCAAGGGGTATTTTTGTTTTCAATCGTTTTTATTCTCGTAATAATGTAATTTAAATAAAAATAGGTAAATTCGTAGACATGAACAAGGTGTAAAATTTTCATAATTTGTACAAAGATCTTATTGTTTGAGTATAGGGTATATTATATTCTAAATTCAATTATGTAATAGTGATTGGCTAAAATGCTTGACATTGTCCACGTCCATAATTCACATGTAAGCCGTCAAGTACCATAGCAACTACAACCACCCACTTACTCAAAATGAGGTAATATTGAACTCATTTATATTTTGTTTAATTTACTGCCTATTTTTTTTACTTCCATGGTTTATGTGAGTCCAATATATCAGGCTCGCCCATGCGTGGCGCGACGACCACCGCACTTTAAATATGTATGTTTGCGACGACGACACACTGCGACATGCATTAGAACAAGCTGTACACAGGATTGAATAGTGTTATCATATCCATCTTGTATGACATCATTTTCAGAAACCGCATGATTGGTGGTGTTAGCAATTGGTCACGTGACAAAGTAGTATTAAAGAACCGCAAATGAAATCCGTATCAAAACGTATTTTAAGGTGCGCTGTAAATGTTTAGACTTTGGTGCTGAACAAATCTGGGGAACATGAAATAAAAATCTTGCAAAAATAAGCGGTATACTCTGGAACATTAGAGCCATCAGCCATGGGTATGTCGACTGTTGAACGGACGGGCGCCACCAACGTCAAAATATGGAAGTGTTTCATTGAACTCCAAACCGCGACGTGCGTTCAAACCCAACGCATACAGAACTGGAGACAACCATATTCGTAAGAAGTGTCGGGGCGTGTAACGGATTGGTTTAGGAGATATTTCTATAAATCTTTCAATTTTATCATCGATTCGCTTAGTATATATAGTAGTTAGGATAATCTTAGAGATGTAATGTCCAACTCTGACCTTAGACAATTAATAGAAATATGGGATTGCCAAATTCATGAAATTAAAATACGGTGAATAAGCTCAAAACATCAAACTAGTGAAATTAAATGTCACTGAAAATATATGATTTACAGTACTTTGGTGCAGTGTGAAAATTCATGTGTAAACATCACACGTCATAATTGCGTTCATTTCCGTGTTAACTTGAAGCGAATTAGATGAAAAAGAATACCGCGTTGTTAGCCTGTTTGAGTCGTCTGAGGTCTGACCTTTGGCGTAAGAAATGTGCCCACGTTTGTTATGCCAATTTCAATAGTCAGTTTTCAATACACCAAAACTATAACCTTTTGAATTGAATGAAAGTTGTGAATAGAAGTGTGTACTGTTTATTATGTATGTTATAATTTGGAAGGCTATGCCACTCTTCATTTCGTGAGTAGTTAACTAGAAAATACCCATGATGCTTTGCTGTATTTTGTTATTTTCTTTACTATGAACACTATATTGTGAATATATTTTGAAGATATTTGTGAATGTGTACATAACGACGTTGGTTCAATAAGATATGTTTAAGGTTGTTCGTAACATGGATTCGGCTCAATGTTCGTTATAGGTAACTTGGCAGTGAACGAGTTGAATTCAAGTTGTTTGTCCAGACGTGGGAGATACGACCGTAACTCATTAGCCAAGTAATAACAAATCATATGCGTTTTTCAGATTAGCGTATAATTGGTGTTTATTCGTTATGTAACTCACGCCACTGACCAATTGTAGCATTCACTAGGTGGTTTGATGTGGGTAAGAGTTAGCCCCCCTCCCCCTATTCATAACTGTAAACCTAACTTTAACTTTGCCCCTCCAGTGCCATCTCCCCAATTTTAATTTCGGGGCAGTTATGGTTATTTGAAGAGGCATATAGTACAATAACATTGGAGGTTGGAACGATTCGTCGTGTTTTCATTACTAAATCCAGTTTCGATCAGAGTAGAATGCGATTTACAAAACTCCGAGCGAGATTGAGTGTTTATACTTGTAAACACACATTTTCGAGTGATTCTAACTCATACCACATGATAAAAAATTTAAAACTATTCAGCAATTTGCGTTTATAGTTGATTTTAAATAAATACAAAATATTTATTGTACGCTTTATCGTCTACTCATGAATAATTCAATGATCAGAACCACGTGACAATCGAATTAACATACATCAGTGTGATAGCGTGGCTGATGTTGTTGGTAATCCCCATGGTGACAACTATACACAGTCCTAGATGCATTGTCTGATTTTCAAATAACCATTTACAAGACACGTTACAGTAAGAAAATGTTGGTTTGTAAGTTATGTACAATTATTCTCTGTAGCAATTACACTGCATATGAATAGAAGTGTGACCGAACTTTAAGTTAACTACCGTTAGCGTCCTCGTGGCCGTACTTGAAAGCGGCAATAGCTGTGATTTTGAACATTTTTGTGTTTTAATATAGTCACATAATGATGACCTAATATTTTAGACACAATTGCATGGGTAAAAGTAACCCTTTACAAGACTAATATAACACTACAGGTCTGGTCACGTGATGATCGATGAACAGCATATCACAAGACGCATAACATTATTGAAGATCACCAGCGAGAGGCCGTCAAAGAGAGGCTTAGCCTCTCAAGATAACAACGTAGTTGACCTTTCGAACAGGAGCCCGTGTAAGTTGTCTTCTTATAACCACAGTCCCTCGACACTGCGTTATAGCGTACTTAGGGTTCGCTTGACAAAACTGGATTTCAATGGAAGGCGCCCTCTGGTGACCCGAACAAGTGATTCAATATACAACGCCGGTATCGTATACTTAAGCAATAACCCCCGCCGAAGGCGGGTATACCACGAGATATTGCACAATTCACGACATATATGCACGAGCCACAGGCGAGTGCATATATGGAGTGAATGGTGCAATATCAAGTGGTATACCCAACTTCGGCGGGGGTTATTGCTATTATATTATACCAGTATATTGACAATTCGATAAAACTTGTAAAAAAAGAGTTTACTTTCATCTACTAAAAGATCATGATTATGGCCCTTGAACATGAATATTTATAAGAATAGTATGTAGTTGTACGCTGAATGCATACAAAAATTACATGCGCAACACAGTTCAAATTGAATACAAACTAATTTTTATTCCACATGAAAAAAACATATCCACGTTGAATAGAGCAGCGTAAACACACAAATTAGCATAACAAAGGATGACCTTTCTGACCTTTTACTGACGCACAACGCGATTTGAAATACAGGGTCGTGTACAGTTTGGATCATTTAAACAACGGATTTTCCACGTTTTCATTCCGGTTTTTGTACAATTTGGACTGTAATTT